CAAATCATGAAGTTAAATTCTAATGAAAATTTAAACAAATGCGGATTGTCTTTTAAACCTAGGCTAGGATGACCTTCCTCATCCTTTCTATATGTTGAAAATGATGGCTGAAATGGAGCCTCCCTAAATCACTCTATACCATGCCTACCTAACAGCCATGAAAAACTAGGTACTAAATAAACTCATTTTGACAATGATGAATCTCTTAACTCTGCTGGTCAGGTTTCTTCTAATGGCAGTACTTAGGTAAGTGTACCATAACACATGAACATAGATCACAGTTAGAGTAACAATTTTAAGCCCAGGGAATTGAAAAAGAAATGAATTTTAACTTAGTGACTTGGAGAGATGAACATATAGATACGAAGCTTTAACAAAAATGCTGCTTAAGATATACATGTCCTTCTGCAAAGAAACAACTTAGCAAACCTTGGAAACTCCATAATGAACTATATGTTTTGCTGAAAGCTATGCATTTTTGAGGTTTATGTTGTTTGCTACACTTCCTCTGTTAGCTGATTCCAACTCTAATTGGAGGAGCAAAGTAAAGGAAGTCCCCTTGGAAAAAAGATATTGGCTGCACAGGTCTGCACAAATTAAAAAATAAAATTGTCTTTCTGGCTTTTTTTTAGAACTGTATTAAAAGGACAAGAATAAATGCAAACACTCATTTGCTTTTTAAAATGATCACACTTGGGTTTAACCACGGGCAGAGAAGAAACTTTACAGTTCCCTGGGAACCTATAATTTGGAAACGGAAGCACACAAGAACAGACTTTAGTTTTCAGGCAATAAATTGAAGAGAATTCTGCAGACATATAACAGAAAAGGAGCATAAAACATTGGCTTGTGCATTTTTTAGAAAGTTAGTTTATTAACTCGATAAGCTACACATGGAAAAACGCAGCCAAAATCTACAAGGATATCCACTGGGGTTTCAAATTGGCATATTTACTCAGCAAGAAATGGTTAGAGCTTAAAAAAAAAAAGTGGTGGGGGGGGAACCCCATTCTGGAAACGACAATTTAGTGTGAATCTCCGGAAAGACACCTTGTTGAAAAACCTCCATACGGGCTCTGATGGGACACACAGAAGCCCCAAGCCCCATGGTCAGACATAAATATCATGCTCCATAATCTGTGTTCTGGGGGAAAGCTCTAAAGAATTATACAAGAAAATCACAATCTTTCACATCCACCTTTCACACACAATTCAACATTAACTTGAAGAATGTTTTAATTTTCCTCCTTATTGCCCAAACTGTTTTTTAATGCTTTATTGGGAATTTTCATTTACTGGTATGAGTTCTATATCTGTATTACTCATCAGTATAAAACAGTTGCAAAGAATTTGTAGGTTGATATTCCCAATGGTCACTGTCTTCTATGATTAAAAGCTCATTATCGGTCTCTCTGGGAGAAAACTCCAGTAACTGAAGTTCACATATGTCAGGTACTGTCCTAGGTTCTTTCATAGACCTTATTTTGTTTAACCCACCCAGGGAGGCAAATATTGCAATCCCCATTTACAGATGAAGAAAGTAAGGGTCAGAGAGATTCTCTGCCGTACTCAAGGCCCTGAGCTAATAATAACAAGGGCCAGCATTTGAACACTGGCCAGTTCAACTCCATGGGTCTGTATCCTTCCCTTCCTGTTCTCCTTGTCAATGCTCCAAAAAATGATTTAAGAAGCTAAATCAAGAACACTCCCTATTCCTGTAGATTGTGGGTTATTTCTATGAGAAACAAAAATTCAAGGTATCTTCAAAGAAAATGAGGACTCAGGACAAATACTAAACTGCCACCTCTTTCCAATGGGTCAAGTTCAGCTAACTAGGGTGTACTCTTAGTCACTTTACTTATACCATGTAGACCCCACTGGAATCAGAGCACCAGGCTATGCAGCAGAGGCCACAATGGACAACTTATGTGCACGTATGCTTTACAGGATCCTGCAGTGTTTAAAAAATTCAACTAACTTTCTAAAACACGTAGATTTCACATACAAATTCCCATTTTATGGATTATCTTGGATAATCGTTAAGTCCTACCATGCTAGGCCCACCTTTACAGCAATGTTCAACCAGAGCTTAGTGGCCACTATGTCCTTAGATGAGTAAGGGTTCTTGCGTTCCTTATAGTGCGTTCCCCACTACCCTAAATTTTATCCACATACTAAGGTCACCCACAGCTGAAATTTTTCATTATGCATATGCTATTTTTCTTATAATAGAGAAATATTTGTCCAGGGCTTGTCTCTTTTGATAGACTGAGTGATGGGCCTAAATTCTTCACCTCTCCTTGTATCTACTCCTGTACAATGTTGTCTTTGTGAGTAGAATATACTTTTCCAATCTGTGACTTTGGCCAATGCAAAGAGTGAAAATCACAGTATCAGTTCAAGACTAGGCCTTATGAGGCCTTGAATATGTTTGCTTATTCTCTTGTGCCTCAGTAACTGTCATTAGAAGAGTTTTCCCTGGGTTGCTGACACGTCTGCAGCCCGACCCTCAGAATGCACATGTGTAACAGAGCTGTCCCAGCCACCAACACAGACTTGCAGTAAGTAGAAGAAGTTTCCAGCCAAGCCCACCCTAGACCAGCTGGGCCAGTCAGCCAACCTGCAAATCTGTAAGAATAAACTATTGGTACTATAAAGTCACTGCATTTTGGGGTGATTTGTTGCACAGAACAACATTAGTATGGCAACTGCTAACTGATGCATCTCTAACAAAAATAAACAATAAAAAAAAACAGGCAGAAAGAACCAGACACCATTATTTTTCCTCCACACAAGGCTGTTTCTTATGTTAAAAGCCTAAACCCTGAAGGCATTTGAGTTTGTAATTTCTGTCAGAAAACTATAAACTTAAGAAATAAAGAAGACTGGACTTGTAAAATGCTTCATACTATGCTATATATCTCGGTTTGACTGAGGTAACACAGGTTTTGTCTATTGCCTTTTGTGTTCTGGTTTGAACAATAAAAAGCACAGTCACTCTATCTTCATTCAACTTTGTTTCCAACTTTCATACCAACTAGCTGAATCTCTTGGTGCTCGTCTTTGAAGCCTGATCTACTAGCTATTATTGTTGCAGGCAACACTCTACATTATTATTTTCTGGATGTAACACATGTTGGGTTAGTTGAAATCATGAAGCCAGTGTATCCAACTGTTACCAAATGCTAGTGTGAAACAAATCAAAATTAGCAGGTGCCAATGCCACAACCACCAACCAGCCAAGCCAAATGCTGGTTGACTGACATTTAAAAGGCTTAACAGGCTAACTTATAAAGAGGAAATGCTCAAAACAACAGCAATATTAAAACAATCAGTGCCTCCTGAAAGTTTTCAAAAGGCAGTAGTTACTACATCTGAGCACATCTGCTTAACAATACAGGAAAGTGGGAGGTTTACTCTCTATTAACCTTAACCAGAGACATTTTCATCAAAATTAATCATGATTACTTTTTATTGCATTTCAAATGCTATCCTTTATTTGGGGTGGTCAGGAATGCAACTAAGCAATTCCAGACCATGCTATCTTTTATGAGTAGGGCTGTGAGGTAGTTATCAAGGCCCCTTATGAAAATATTGCTATACAAAAGTTCATGGGCCAAAACAAGACATTAATTTCCATAACTAAATGTGTCCTTAGAAAAGAAAAAATTACCACCTATAGAAAAGATAAAAACTTTGATACTCAACGCATATCAGATTAGAACTATAGAAATACCTCTGCGTATAGCAGACAAATCATTTTTAATGTTTCATTTGCCTTTTCCTTGTTATTATAACAACTGTTAGTCATGAACACTTATTTTGGGCATAGTCTGTGCCAAGTACAATTCTAAATTATTTATATGCCTTGACTGTTTAACCCCCATGACTACTCTGGAGCAGATGCAATTATTATTCTTATTTTATAGAGTAGCACACCATAGGAAGGTCCTCTTTTAAGTTCGGGGCCCACCTCCTATTGTCTCACAATTCAGTGAACACTCCAAATCAGGCAATCAGTGTCAAGAGGCTTCAGTGACACCAGAAAACATGTCTAGGACACAGAGAGACAAAAAAAAAAATCCCCCAAATATTAACTAGTATCTATGTGCCATGCTTTATGCAAGATATTTCCTTGTATTTCCTACTCTGGAATAATTATTGATTTCTCTTTTGGCCAATTAAAAAGATGAATTATGAGTACATATTGAAATTATCTAACTTTTCCTGTCTCCAAGGAGGAAACCTAATATATAACTAGAGAAAAACACTAATTAATAACCAAAATTTAACATGAACTCCAGCCAGCTTGAACTGCTCTGTTTAAAGGCACACTGGAATAAATAAAGAAACTTCAAAGCAAATGCCCTATTTTAGCTTGAACGTTTTATTAAGTACATGGGGAGCACTCCTTCGCCAAAAATAAGGAAGGTTAATGAGGAAAAAGTGGTGTTTCCAGTGAGTTGGTTTGTTTCTAAGATAGAGCTGTCCATTGAAAGATAACCATATTCACGGAGAAGACAGAATAATGATCTGTGTCTGAGGCTCACAGTCTTGAACAAAACAAACTGGATTTGTAAACTGTCTGGGATCAGCTGAATGTATCCTCACCCAAATACCTTCTGTGATAATACACACACATTTGCCTTCTTCTATTTCGAAAACAATTTAAATATAAATTGTAAAGGAAGACATTTCTATGTTTTAAATTTCTTGCCAACTATATAAATGCAGCCCTTGCCTTTTTAAGGTGAGGTACAGGAACCAAAAGACTCTGCACTGTATTTCTAGGCTATACCATAATTGGCTTTTAATTCTGAAAATGATGACCCACCCCTGGGAAAGACCTACTGGGTTCGTTGGGCACACACTGTTAGTTCTAGACCCAGGGCAAAGGCAAGTCCACCATTTCTGTGCGTATTTTCTGGCAACAAGGGTAACGTTTCTGAGAGAGTCCATCTCTAGTTATTTAGAGATTAAGAAGAGAAGCCTGTCCTTACCTGCAAATGCTGTGAGTTGTCAGCCATGCTATCTTCTCGCCTGCGGACTTCTTCTAATAACTGAGCATTCTTCTTCTTTTCCAACTGTTGATTGTGCTTGAGGTTGGCCACCTTCTTATTCTGATCTTTCATATGCCTGAGAAAAGTCAGCACAGCTTGGTTAAATTCAACCACTGGAAGATCGTATGTTATCACAAATAGACTCAGGAAGTACTAAGCATAGGATATCTGGATATGGGCTCGGGAAAAAGATACTTCTGAATAATCCACTCATTCAGTTACAAATATGTATTGAGTATCCACTTAATGTGAGGTTCCAGGATGGCACTCGGGCTGCAGTGGTCAATGAGACAGGTATAATCTTCACCCTCATGGAGCTTAGAGGCCAGTAGACAAGACAGACAAGTACCAAGGAGACACAATTTAGGTTTCTTAACATTGAAGGAAACAAATAGCATGCTGCGAGAGATGGTGATGTGCGTGTGTGGACAGGTGGTAGGTAGACTGGAAGTAGATGTCTTTTTATGCTGTGGCCAAAGAAAGCCTCCCAAACAAAGTGAGAGCTAACCAAGAGAAACACCAGTGGCAGAGCTCCCAGGCAGAGAGAACAATTTGTTTAATTCCCAAGGCAGGAGAGAAGAAACTGGAAGGCTGCAGTGAGGCTAATCCAGGAGAGGATGTGCGTGGAAGACGGGACGGCACAGGTAGGCAGGGCCGAGGCACATAGGGCCTCTGGTCCATGATAGGGCATTAATTTTCTTCTAAGTGGTTGCTGTTCTAATTATTATTATTCTTCTTTTGGATCATGTTCTTCTTCTGAGATCATAATCCATTACTTTGATTTTAAAATAACAATTACGAGGCTCCAATCAAATACACTGTCATCACTTAGCTCAAACACAATAACAGTTTGGCTAATCATAATGTTAAATAAGGCTCTGGGGCTTGGAGTAAAAGTTCTTAATGAATCTACAGCATGTCAAAGTACAGAATCATAAAGTGATCAAGTGAGTAAAAGACTAAGGATAAAGAATGGGTTAAAGAAAACAACAATGGGAATTACGAGCTTAATGTGGACTATTGCACCAGAAGCGTTTAGCAAAACATTCCACAGATTTAGGCAACCATGTCCACAGCAGCTATAATAAATCTAATCCAACACACGAGGAGGTAGGAGGGCAGTATGGAGGGTTTGGGAGCAGTGACCACAAGAGGAGGGATGAGCAACAGAATCATTTGGGGTCCTTCTGGATCCCTTTCCCCCATACCACAGCCTTGCCATGTTAGCCACTGTTACTGAGCCCTGACTCTGTAACAAACATACTGAGAATCACTGCTCTTTTGAAAATGTAAACGAGATGAGAACTAGATGATAAACAGCAAACGTGAAATTGAAGCAATTAAAATAAAATGAAAACTGCTCTCCACAAGAAACTTTTATTTCTAGTCCTCATAAATTATATACTCCCCTACTCTCTCCCATTCCAAGCAAATGAAGCACAAGAGCATTGTTTACTTAGTCGAATCATATTATCTAGCACTAACAGTATACTGCCTGCTAATAAAGAGTTTGAGGGTGCAGTGGCTCATGCCTGTAGTCCTAGCTACTCAGGAGGCTGAGGCAGGAGGACTGCTTGAGCCCAAGAGTTAGAGTCCAGCCTGTAAAACATAGCAAGGCCTCATCTCTAAAACATACACACACATACACTACATATATATACATATACACACACATATATGTGCATATATATATATATATATATATATTCTGAACACTTTGGTTTCTTATATTTACACTAACTGAGGCCATGATTTAAATATTATTGGTAGCACTTAATAGGAGGATATAAAGTCTGATAGAATAACCATCTTCTTAGTCTTTAAATTACATAATTTTTGTCTAATATTTCCCCATTTTTACCTGATACAGCAATGTATACACATGAAATCACCAAGTCAAACTTGCATACGAATCCACTTGGAGGAAATGATCTTGTGGTTACTATAAAGATGGCAAGAATGACCTCTTGCTTTCTAATTGAATGAGGAGACCATATTTCCAAAGGCCATACTAACCCAGGGCAGGCACATTTTCCAGTTCCTTAGGAAATAACGGCAGAGCTCAGTAACAGAAGGTAATGGAGAGGTCAGTATGATTCATGTGATTGTTTAATTAGTGGGCATTTTTATAAAGAAATAATTTTATTACTTTACACTGTTAAATAGAACCAACTGATACAAGTCCCCCTGCCCCAAGTATGGGTGCAAATACAGATTATTATTACAAAACTCTTTTGCATAGTGAAAGAACTCCTGCAAAGTTCTTGGAATAGTCTGAACACAGAGACCTTATTTTCAGGGATACTGCAACGTTTTTCTCAATCCCAAACAAGAAAGCAAATTCCAAACCCACATGTCCCTTAAAGCTTCCTGAATTAAGAATGAGTGCCTAAGGAAAATGGGGAACTGAAGTTTTGACATTGTGCTGGAGGCCTATCTCCAGCCATTCCTTCAAACACTCCCTTATTTAAGACCACCAGTGATTGATAAAGGAAAGTTGGATTTTGAATAGCCCTGCTTAGGATTTGAGCCAATTCGAGACATGCAGGGCAAGGTGATGAGAATGATCATCTTGTCTTTGTACATGGAACTGTCAATAGCTACATATAAAGTGTGTACACTCCCCTGAAGTAGTGCCATGGTTTTCAAAGATATTTCTAGCAGTCGAAGGCTTTCTGCTACTTAACGCTTACTTGAAAGTCAAAAAGGAAGAGAAGAATTGCTCTGGAACAGGTAGGAAAGAAGTAAGGAGTGGAGTGGAACAGGTAAGCAGAGCTTCACTACCAGACAACTCCTCTCTCAAGTGCTTCTCAGGGAAGCCCTAAGGCTACCTGAAACACAGGTTAAAATGGCAATTTATGAGTGAGGCAGGCAGAGGAGTCATGAAATTTAAAAATACTAGATCTCTAAGAGAAGAGAAAATGCCCCCGCAGATGCTCAGTGAAAAAATGACCACAGTAATTTTTGCTAGCAACAACTATAGCATTTGTAAGAATAAAATCTATAAGGGACCTATCAGTCTCCACATGTTCCCCTACCTGCAGAAGAACACTCACACTGATTCAGTGCAGCTTTCAAATGTCTCCAAAATCTAAAAGGTAAGACCCCTAGTTGTGAAGACTGCTATACCTTCCTGCTATCCTGCCCCAGAAGCAAGTGTCACTGTTTACCAAACCACCAACCCCTTGGCAAGGCTCTGCCAGAAACTGACCTGCTCTATGATTTAAAAAATCAAAAAAAAAAAAAAAAAAAAAAAAAAGGTTATTTGGGATGAATTTTTTCTCCAGAAAAACCAGCATGAAAAATATATGTAAAATGCAAATTTTAAAAAGATAAAAACAATTATGGCAAAAGAAGTGTTTGGAAAATACAGTGGTAAGTTTAGTTTTCAATGTTTAACTTAAATGTACTGGTTTCATAAAACAAGGCATGTCACTTTTCAAAATCCAGTCACCATCAAGGAACTTGCATTAAATTAAAAATTTCCAACAAGTGTCAAGGTCAACAATGACTACCATATTAAGAAAGCATGTCAGAGAGAACAGAATCCTGCCATTTTCACTAGAATAATCTGTCAAATTCTAAGAATAAAATATTCTCTAACTTGCTGGTGAGAATGTGTCAGACTCTGAGACCTCTAGAATTACACAGCTAGGAGTGCAGGACAGGAGAATCATATGTTTTTCCAAGTGCATGTGCCCAAATATTTGCAAAACAAGGAAAAAAATCAAAATTTCTTTTAAAATCTCAATAGAAACAAAAACATGCCACTTTTTTACCCATCTGCCCTGAAAAACCTTTAAAGATTGGTAATATTCATTGTTGGAAAGGATGCAGGAATGTAGTTCTCATATGGGTCAGGAAAAGTGTAATTACCAAAAGTATTTTTGGAAATCAATTTAGTGATTTCCACCAAAGCATTGATTCCTTTTGCCCAAGAATACCCTTCTTCAAGGAAAATAGCCTACAAAAGTGCTTGCACAGTGCAAACATATGTATGCATATATATACACAAACATTTCCATTACGACTGTAAAAGTAAAAATTTGAAAATTGCCTAATCATCTATCAGAAGGAAACTGAAGAAATTAAGTATATTCATAATATAAAATTAGGCTAGCTAAAAAGATTAAGGCAAAATGCAGTACGGACATGGAAAACCCTTCAGGATATATTGTTACTCAAAAAAGAAAGCAGGTAGCAGAAATAAAGTAAGACAAATAGTCTGATGTTATTTATGTTAAAATATGAATGCCTATTTGGATGTATAAAGACACACATGCATGTAAATGGAAACTCCACACCAGTCCATAAAAACAGTGGTAGTAACGGAAGAAGAGGATAGGTTTGGGAGGAAATGAGATCTTCCATTTACACTGTATGGGTGTGTATGTGCCCGTGTGTGTATGTGTATGTGTGTAAGTGGAGCATAAATACATACAAGAAGATGCATAAATATTAAGCATACAAGTCAAAGGTTTTTGACAAATCAAAATAAAGAGCATGCTACCACCTAGCCTCATGGCCCTCCCCTCTTCCCAGAAGTGAGCACCATTCTAATCTTTATCTATATGGATTTGTTTTGCTTGCTCTTGAACTTTATATACATAGAATCAGATGGTACATATACTTTTGTATCTGACTTCTTTCACTTGGCATAAAGGTTTAAGATTTATTCATATTGTTGTATTAGGTCATTGCTTCTTAGTGCTGAGTACTATTCCATTATATAAATACACTATAGTTTGAGTAGCTATTTCCTTGTTAATGGATATTTGAGCTGTTTCATTTTCTTTTACTGTTAAGAATAAAGTTGCAATGAACATTCTTATGCCAGTCTTTTTGTGTATATATGCATTCATTTCTCTTGGACAAATAAGTGGATATATGTTTAACTGCAAGTGTAAAATGGTAGAATCCCACGAAAGACTATTTCCTGGCCATATGAATCTTCTAAGGACAGCAGTGGCTAATAGCATAAACCTTGGAACCAGACGGCCTGGGCTTCCAATAGAAGTCTGCCATTTCTAGCTGTGTGGCCATGGGCAAACTTCCTAACCTAACCTTTGTTCCTCA